GGGAAAAGAATTATATAAATTATAATATTATATATATATAGAAAGTGATAAACTTGTGTATTTAATGTACCGCCCCTGTTTATTTTACTTGCATTACGAAGCTCACCCTTTGAAAGCCTCTACTAACTTGGGGCCGGATACCCAAAAACTAATACCATCAGAAAAGAACCCGGTTGCGTCCCATTAGGGCCGTAACATCCACCGTACAGTGTTCACGTCCACCGTACAGTGTTCACGTCCACCGTACAGTGTTCACGTCCACTGTACAGTGTTCACGTCCACCGTACAGTGTTCACGTCCACCGTACAGTGTTCACGTACACCGTACAGTGTTCACGTCCACCGTACAGTGTTCACGTCCACCGTACAGTGTTCACGTCCACCGTACAGTGTTCACGTCCACCGTACAGTGTTCACGTCCACCGTACAGTGTTCACGTCCACCGTACAGTGTTCACGTCCACCGTACAGTGTTCACGTACACCGTACAGTGTTCACGTCCACCGTACAGTGTTCACGTCCACCGTACAGTGTTCACGTACACCGTACAGTGTTCACGTACACCGTACAGTGTTCACGTACAGAGCACTGGACGTGAACACTGCTGATGCACAGCCACGGCGGCCAGGGGAGATGTCTTCCTCATCCCGCCCCTAACAAATATGACGCCATAAAGAAACCAGAAATAGCTCATTCTTCTAAACAATTGTCTCTCACTACCGCCAGGAACAGTGAGAGTAACATGAAGGTGATCTTGGTGCTGGCTTGACACCCCCTTGGTGCTGGCCTGACACCAGCTTGGTGCTGGCCTGACACCAGCTTGGTGCTGGCCTGACACCAGCTTGGTGCTGGCCTGACACCAGCTTGGTGCTGGCCTGACACCACCTGGGTGCCAGCCTGACACCACCTTCGTGCTGGCCTGACACCACCTTCGTGCTGGCCTGACACCACCTTCGTGCTGGCCTGACACCACCTGGGTGCCAGCCTGACACCACCTTCGTGCTGGCCTGACACCACCTGGGTGCCAGCCTGACACCACCTTCGTGCTGGCCTGACACCACCTTCGTGCTGGCCTGACACCACTTGCTTAACATCCTTCATCATATCGCGAGACTTTCCGTCTCAGGCACCACGTCAGAACTACAGCATTCTGAGCCTTACGCTGAGACGCAGTAAGAACGATCCATCCCCGAGCCTGGCGTCTCCCCGGGGCCGTGCTCGCCCCTCGTCATAAATTCGAAACATTAATTTGTCGTCATCGTCGTCGTCGGTGGCGGCGGGATGAGATTGCGCGCGGTTTTAATTGGTGGTCGTGCTGGGTGAAGCCTCCAACCCGTCCTGGGGTCCCTGGAGCCGCCCCGGTGGCAACAGGTCACAACTCCTCGTCAACAGCGGCCACACGCCGCTCACTATGTAACTAAAAACTTAGTTATTACAATTAGGTCACAGTAGACGGGCAGCGAGGCCACAGGAGGTCCCCCGGGGCCACAGGAGGTCCCCCGGGGCCACGGGAGGCCACAGGGGGTCACCCGGGGCCACGGGAGGCCACAGGGGGTCACCCGGGGCCACGGGAGGCCACAGGAGGTCCCCCGGGGCCACGGGAGGCCACAGGAGGTCCCCCAGGGCCACGGGAGGCCACAGGAGGTCCCCCGGGGCCACGGGAAGCCACGGGTGGCCAGCGAGGCGGGCGGGGGGGGGGCAGGAAGCACGCCCCGCCGGGCCGGGTAACTACACACACTCACCACGCTGTCTCCCGCCCTCATTACAGGTGGCACGCGCGCACGCTCACACGCGCTCTTTATACTGTGGCCTTAACACATCTTGTTGTTGTGTGTGAGGGTCAATACTGGTGTCTTGTCTGCTGTTTGTCACGCTCTCGCCCGTTGTGAATCACATCTTAAACTAAATCTCGTCTCTAGTTCTTATAGCGCAAGTATTGAAGCATTTTACGAATGTTGATAATTTATAATAAATATTTTCATCAGCGGGATAAATCCCGTTACTTTTATTTATGATGTTTAAATAGAGAAGTTAGTTGATTGATTGACAGTTGAGAGGCGGGCCGAAAGAGCAGAGCTCAACCCCCCGCAAGCACAACTAGCTGAATGCAATTAGGTTGACGGGAAGAGAGAGAGGGGGGGGGGGGGGGGAAGGGAGGGTAGGTGGTGTGCCAGGGCGTTCACAAGGGGGGGGGGGGGGTCCTGCGTACTTGATGAAAGGTCTCGACCAGCTCCCTACACACACACACACACACATCACCATGTAGTACACAGGTAATCCTACAGAGTGCCAGGCAGTGTAGCAGATGCCATTGGTGATACTGTGCGTGGTGAAGGCAAGTGATGAAACAGGAGTGCCAGGCAGCGTGGGAGAGTGCCAGGACGCGTGGGAGAGTGCCAGGACGCGTGGGAGAGTGCCAGGCAGCGTGGGAGAGTGCCAAGCAGCGTGGGAGAGTGCCAGGCAGCGTGGGAGAGTGCCAGGCAGCGTGGGAGAGTGCCAGGCAGCGTGGGAGAGTGCCAGGCAGCGTGGTAGAGTGCCAGGCAGCGTGGGAGAGTGCCATATAGTCATCATATACGATCTAGTGGTGATGGTGATATAGTCAAGTGATACCAACGATCCCCTATGGAGAACAGTGATGGTCTTGAACAGTGAATATGTCAGGTATTGTAGTGATCTTTGTCTCATATAATTACAGCCATACTGACACCTTTGTTACAGGTGGTACAACTCTCATTATATTATCCTGGTGGAGGGGGCGGGAGGGGTGAGGGGGGAGTGTGGATACCTCCTCACCTGTTTGATGGACGGGAAGGGAGGGGGGGGAGGGGGGTGATGCCAGAGGTAACGGGTCACGAAACTGAGATGAATGACAAAATTGTTATCTGCGGGGCGTCCGTGGGGACCTTTGGTACGCTCCGACGCCGCTAGGTGGCCCGCGGGGCGTCGGGGGGGACCTTTGGTACGCTACGACGCCGCTAGGTGACCCGCGGGGCGTCCGGGGGGACCTTTGGTACGCTCCGACGCCGCTAGGTGACCCGCGGGCCGTCAGGGGGGGACCTTTGGTACGCTCCGACGCCGTTAGGTGGCCCTTGGGGCGTCCGGAGGAACCTTTGGTACGCTCCGACGCCGCTAGGTGACCCGCGGGGCGTCCGGAGGAACCTTTGGTACGCTCCGACGCCGCTAGGTGATCCGCGGGGCGTCCGGGGGGACCTTTGGTACGCTCAGACGCCGATAGGTGACCCGCGGGGCGTCCGGGGGGACCTTTGGTACGTTCCGACGCCGCTAGGTGGCGCACGGACCGCGACACAGGTCGTAGCACACAGATACTGTTCTTAATGGTCCGAGCGGCAGTAATGACCGTTGACAAAACAGGGAAGACACGGTAATTACAGTCATTAATGACAAGATTGACCACATGACTGAGTAGTTATGGATGGAAAAACATCGATGTTGATCCTGTAATGTGTTGCTCCGTAGAGATGCGTCACAAGATTATAGTGTTGGGTAATGAGGCCACGACCTCGGAGGGCCAGCTGGGCGAGGCCACGACCTGTGAGTGTCAGCTGGGCGAGGCCACGACCTGTGAGTGTCAGCTGGGCGAGGCCACGACCTGTGAGTGTCAGCTGGGCGAGGCCACGACCCTGGAGTGTCAGCTGGGCGAGGCTGACACTCCAGGGTCAACAATCCATATAAATCATTACGTGTCACAATATTTGGCCAACATGGCCGTCTGTCCTCAGCCTCGGCTGGCCCAAGCTGCCCCCCGACCCCAGACACACATTGTGTAGCCCCAACCGGTATGTTCTCAAATGTTAAATGTATATACATTTATATTAATATATGGTATATTGTTAGACCTAGGTTAGGTATGGAGGGTTCTGTGGGCATTTGGTCATCGCTGACAAACCCTTTGAAGCTTGTCTAAATGTGCATTAGACATGACATTAGCGTACACACACACTATAGTGTTCACTGATAAGATAGAGTGAGAGGGACCCCGCGGACGTGTGGCGTTACCATTCTATAATATTACTGTAAATCTTAGGACCAAATTGGTCCAAGTGTCGTAATTGGTCACCGGCGAAGTCCCGGGGCTTGTTTGCGTGTCTTATGTAATTACCCCGGGGGGGGGGTGTGGCCTCATTACTCCGGGGTAATAGCTAACACCAGGGTCAAGCAGGACCTCTGAGCCACCACCAGGGTCAAGCAGGACCTCTGAGCCACCACCAGGGTCAAGCAGGACCTCTGAGCCACCACCAGGGTCAAGCAGGACCTCTGAGCCACCACCAGGGTCAAGCAGGACCTCTGAGCCACCACCAGGGTCAAGCAGGACCTCTGAGCCACCACCAGGGTCAAGCAGGACCTCTGAGCCAACACCAGGGTCAAGCAGGAACTCTGAGCCAACACCAGGGTCAAGCAGGACCTCTGAGCCACCACCAGGGTCAAGCAGGACCTCTGAGCCACCACCAGGGTCAAGCAGGACCTCTGAGCCACCACCAGGGTCAAGCAGGACCTCTGAGTGGTAGATAGACGCTATGTGCTCACACACACTCACCATCACCCGCTCTTTATCATGTCACCATCCGTCGCTATCATGCACCATCATTCATCACTGATAGTGATGAATCAAATGGCTTCAAGTCAGTGTTGAGCGGCGTGCAGTAATTGGTCGACATGATCCGCCAGTCACAATACTGACGGCAAATTTATGACTTTGAACGATCGTTCAGCGAAGCCATTCGGATGACCTGGGCTTTGAAGGTGGGGTATCGAACCACGTGTGTCGGGGATCCGGTAGCCAGCCAGCCAGCCAGCCAGCCAGGCGGCGAGGCTGACAGGTGAGACGCTGCGTCACTATAGGTAGATCCAGCAGGTTGTGGTGTCTCGCCCTCGGCGTCAGGTGCCTGCCTCACCCCTCATTGTCTCCAGCAGGTTGAGAACCCTGGCACGCCACGATATCAACGTCATAGTGCTATCATCAGCTGATCGTAGGCGTGATAGCATGGGTGATCGTAGGCATGACAGCATGAGTGAGCGTAGGCATGATAGCATGAGTGATCGTAGGCATGATAGCATGGGTGATCGTAGGCATGATAGCATGGGTGATCGTAGGCATGATAGCATGGGTGATCGTAGGCATGACAGCATGAGTGAGCGTAGGCATGATAGCATGAGTGATCGTAGGCATGATAGCATGGGTGATCGTAGGCATGATAGCATGGGTGATCGTAGACATGATAGCATGAGTGATCGTAGGCATGACAGCATGAGTGATCGTAGGCATGATAGCATGAGTGATCGTAGACATGATAGCATGAGTGATCGTAGGCATGATAGCATGAGTGATCGTAGGCATGATAGCATGAGTGATCGTAGGCATGATAGCATGGGTGATCGTAGGCATGATAGCATGAGTGATCGTAGGCATGATAGCATGGGTGATCGTAGGCATGACAGCATGAGTGATCGTAGGCATGATAGCATGAGTGATCGTAGGCGTGATAGCATGAGTGATCGTAGGCGTGATAGCATGAGTGATCGTAGGCATGATAGCATGAGTGATCGTAGGCGTGATAGCATGAGTGATCGTAGGCGTGATAGCATGAGTGATCGTAGACATGATAGCATGAGTGATCGTAGGCATGATAGCATGAGTGATCGTAGACATGATAGCATGAGTGATCGTAGGCATGATAGCATGAGTGAGCGTAGGCATGATAGCATGAGTGATCGTAGGCATGATAGCATGGGTGATCGTAGGCATGATAGCATGGGTGATCGTAGGCATGACAGCATGAGTGATCGTAGGCATGATAGCATGGGTGATCGTAGGCATGACAGCATGAGTGATCGTAGACATGATAGCATGAGTGATCGTAGGCATGATAGCATGAGTGAGCGTAGGCATGATAGCATGAGTGAGCGTAGGCATGATAGCATGAGTGATCGTAGACATGATAGCATGAGTGATCGTAGGCATGATAGCATGAGTGATGGTAGGCATGATAGCATGGGTGATCGTAGGCATGATAGCATGAGTGATCGTAGGCATGACAGCATGAGTGATGGTAGGCATGATAGCATGGGTGATCGTAGGCATGACAGCATGAGTGATCGTAGGCATGACAGCATGAGTGATCGTAGTCATGATAGCATGGGTGATCGTAGGCATGACAGCATGAGTGATCGTAGGCATGATAGCATGAGTGATGGTAGGCATGATAAAGTGGACTGCTCCGGGGTAATGAGATGCAACATTGTTTCAGTATATTACTAACAAACCGGCTTTAATGTGCCTTCAAATATCTCTAATTTCCTGTTGCTGCTTCACCCAAGAATCTACTATGTCGTAATCATGTCTCCTTCCTCCAGTGTATCGAGGTCCACCTCCACCAGCCTGTCTTCGTAGCTCAGTCTTGGGACATTTCCTGGTTATATTGTATATGTTGGTAACAGCATACCAGTCTATGCTGGGCTGGTATGCTTAGTAAAGTCTCACATTGGTTGTGTCAGGGTGTTGGGGGGGGTGTGTGAGGGGGGGGGTGTGTGAGGGGGGGTGAGAGGGGGGGGGGGTGTGAGGGTGGGGGGGTGTGAGGGTGGGGGTGTGTGAGGGTGGGGGGTGAGGGGGGACTAGGCGAGCCTCACTACAGTCAGTGAATGAGGTCCATTGCTCCATCCTGCTGGCTATTTAAACCCGTGTAGGGGAGGGTAGGGGGGATAGGGTGTCCCTAGATAGGGGATATTGGGGGAAGGGGGAGGGGGGTGTCCCTGGGTAGGGGGTATTGGGGGATAGGGGGGGGTGTCCATGGATAGGGGGGATGGGGGGAGGCTAGGGCCTAGAAGTGATGGTGTACTCTCATAGTTATGCCTAGCGGACAGGGTCTCAGCCATTGGGCCCCGCCTTGCCAACAGATAGTGATGCAGAGGTAACCTGACAGCCTGATGAGCGCCTGACAGCTGGGTGGACAGCGCTTCGGATTCGTAGTCCTGAGGTTCCGGGTTCGATCCCCGGTGGAAGCGAAAAAAAATGTTCAAAATGTTTTTGATCCATTACATGGTTAATCTTGGGTACAAGTCCAATATATCATCAAGTGTTCCAGTACTCATATAGTAATTACACAGTTCAGCATACCTCAGCCCAGGAGGGCGAAAGTCACTAAGCTGACAGCCTCCATGGTGCGTGTAAGGGAGCCACACCTGTACGCCACACCTGGCGGCCACACCTGTACGCCACACCTGTACGCCACACCTGGCGGCCACACCTGTACGCCACACCTGGCGGCCACAACTGCTATGAAATGTGCGTTGTCTTACGTCTTAAATCTGGCGGTAAGGAGGTTTTGGAAGTGATATTAAAGTATGTGTGTGTGTGTGAGGCAGGGGGGGGGCGACTCCTGCCACTGATGGCTTCAGGAGGCCATCAGTGGCAGGAGTCACATGATGGTGATGTTAGGGGGGGGGGGGCTGGTCCCCCTCCCACCCATGTTAGTGGGGGCTGCCCCCCCCTCACACCATGTTAGTGGGGGGCTGGTCCTCCCCCACCCCCACCATGTTAGTGGGGGCTGCCCCCCCTACCATGTTAGTGGGGGGCTGGTCCCCCCATGTTAGTGGGGGCTGCCCCCCCCTCACACCATGTTAGTGGGGGGCTGGTCCTCCCCCACCCCCACTATGTTAGTGGGGGCTGCCCCCCCTACCATGTTAGTGGGGGGCTGGTCCCCCCCATGTTAGTGGGGGCTGCCCCCCCCCCCCCTCACACCATGTTAGTGGGGGGCTGGTCCTCCCCCACCCCCCACCATGTTAGTGGGGGCTGCCCCCCCACCATGTTAGTGGGGGCTGCCCCCCCCCACCATGTTAGTGGGGGGCTGCCCCCCCCCACACACAACAGCCGCCACAGGAACAGGCAGGATAGAGCCAGTGGAGAACAGAGGTGCCATAGACACAATCAGAGAACATTGTGGTGGCAAGAACCTGGCAAGAATGACAAGAACCTGGCAAGAATGTACGTGCTCCCGTGCGGGCGTACAGTGTTGCAGACAAGCGCGTGCTGCTCTCCATCTCCAAGATTAAAACCGGTTATTTACGTCTCAAAATATTCCCACAATTATCATTCGCTATTGATTATTTGTGCTCAATAGAGGAAGAGCCCTGGTGGACCCCTGAGGGTAACACCCCCAGGGGGATACAACCCTGGGGTTTGGCACGTGTTCTCTCTAATACAACACGTTATATAATGCATATATTTCGTTATATGAAATTGCAGATGTGTTGCACGGGTGTGTATGGCAGGGTTGGTGACGGCATATAATATATAGAGGATGGAAGGACAGTTTGGCTCAGCAACAGTGGTGGTCCCGGTGTTCAGGTGGTGGGCCGGCTGCTCTATAGCTGCCCACAACAGTTTGTTACGTCAGTGTGGGTATGGAAGCTAGACAGTGTGGGTATGGAAGCTAGACAGTGTGGGTAGGAACACTGGGCCAGTGTGGGTATGGAAGCTAGACAGTGTGGGTATGGAAGCTAGACAGTGTGGGTAGGAACACTGGGCCAGTGTGGGTATGGAAGCTAGACAGTGTGGGTATGGAAGCTAGACAGTGTGGGTAGGAACACTGGGCCAGTGTGGGTATGGAAGCTAGACAGTGTGGGTATGGAAGCTAGACAGTGTGGGTAGGAACACTGGGCCAGTGTGGGTATGGAAGCTAGACAGTGTGGGTATGGAAGCTAGACAGTGTGGGTAGGAACACTGGGCCAGTGTGGGTATGGAAGCTAGACAGTGTGGGTATGGAAGCTAGACAGTGTGGGTAGGAACACTGGGCCAGTGTGGGTATGGAAGCTAGACAGTGTGGGTATGGAAGCTAGACAGTGTGGGTATGGAAGCTAGACAGTGTGGGTAGGAACACTGGGCCAGTGTGGGTATGGAAGCTAGACAGTGTGGGTATGGAAGCTAGACAGTGTGGGTATGGAAGCTAGACAGTGTGGGTATGGAAGCTAGACAGTGTGGGTATGGAAGCTAGAGAGTGTGGGTATGGAAGCTAGAGAGTGTGGGTATGGAAGCTAGAGAGTGTGGGTATGGAAGCTAGAGAGTGTGGGTATGGAAGCTAGACAGTGTGGGTATGGAAGCTAGACAGTGTGGGTATGGAAGCTAGACAGTGTGGGTATGGAAGCTAGACAGTGTGGGTATGGAAGCTAGACAGTGTGGGTATGGAAGCTAGACAGTGTGGGTATGGAAGCTAGACAGTGTGGGTATGAAAGCTAGACAGTGTGGGTATGAAAGCTAGACAGTGTGGGTATGGAAGCTAGACAGTGTGGGTATGGAAGCTAGACAGTGTGGGTATGAAAGCTAGACAGTGTGGGTATGGAAGCTAGACAGTGTGGGTATGGAAGCTAGACAGTGTGGTTATGGAAGCTAGACAGTGTGGGTATGGAAGCTAGACAGTGTGGGTATGGAAGCTAGACAGTGTGGGTATGAAAGCTAGACAGTGTGGGTATGGAAGCTAGACAGTGTGGGTATGGAAGCTAGACAGTGTGGGTATGGAAGCTAGACAGTGTTGGTATGGAAGCTAGACAGTGTGGTTATGGAAGCTAGAGAGTGTGAGTACGAACACTGGGCCAGGGTGTGGGTGTGGGAGCGTGCAGACGCCCACGGCCGGGGGTGTGGGCGGCCAGTACACACACGGGTACTCATTACCAGTTGTGGGTCAGGTTGGTTAACAGGAAAATTACTTCCCAGAATTCACATTATAATTCTTAAGAATTTGACATCAATTTGAAAGTAATTGGAGCAGTTACAGGCTCCTGTCCACTAACTACAGTAGTTACAGGTTCCCGTCCACCACCTACACCAGTTACAGGTTCCCGTCCACCAACTACAGCAGTTACAGGTTCCCGTCCACCACCTACAGCAGTTACACTCTCCCGTCCACCACCTACAGCAGTTACAGGATGGCGTGAGACGGGGCGGCGGACCAACACAGTCTAGACAGAAGGTGAACTACTAGACGGGCCCCCGTCAAGACGGTACAGTTGACAGGTGACAGGGGAGGGGGCAGCAATTTGTGACACGCGTGACAACACTGAAGGAGGTAACGATGTTGAGGACAAACACGGCCGCTTGGAACGACTCATTACAAGGTTTACTGTGATTGCATTGGTCCATTATGCAAATTCTAGAAAACCTGGTCAGAGACCGAGCCGCGGGGACACTGATCCCCGAAATCGTCAACAGGTAGACGTTACCGCGATTCTCCAAGTAGGCCGTTCAGCGAGGCTGTGATGGAACGGCAAGCTGAGTACGGTCCCTTTAGAATGCCAACAACAACAGCGTGATGAATCACGTGTTTACCCGAGACTTGAGTGAGGACTTAAGATGACTTGTCCCCAGAATGATTGCGGGAAGACATCTTAGGACAAGTCTGAGAGCATCATGCACACCACAATAGGTCAGCAAGTCAGTGGTGGAGGTGCACAAGTGGCTGCATGTGCAGGTGCCTAATTGTGCTTGCGGGGGTTGAGCTTTGGCTCTTTGGTCTCGCCTCTCAGCCGTCAATCAACTGCTGTACAGGCGATGAGTCACAATAACGTGGCTGAAGTATGTTGACCAGACCACACACTAGAAGTTGAAGGGACGACGACGTTTCGGTCCGTCCTGGACCATTCTCAAGACGATCGACTTGAGAATGGTCCAGGACGGACCGAAACGTCGTCGTCCCTTCAACTTCTAGTGTGTGGTCTGGTCAATCAACTGGTGTACAGATTCCTGAGCCTACTGGACTCTATCATATCTACACTTGAAACTGTGTATGGAGTCAGCCTCCACCACATCACTTCCTAGTGCATTCCATTTACTAACTATACTCTGACACTGAAAAAGTTCTTTCTAATGTCCGGTTAAGACCCGGTGCTCCGTCAGGCCTGGGTCGTCACCTGACCTTATCATCTCTGAGGTATGCTGCAGCATGTTCTGGCCATGCTTACCTGGGTACGGTATATAATGCGGCCCCCTACCCTGGGTTATGCTATCCACCCCTCTCCCCTCCCTCCCAGACAACCCGGGTAAAAACCTACAATTATCCGAAGATTAAAAGACAGTATTGTACGCAGCTCCGTGTCCGGCCAGAAAGTTAATCAACGCTGTCAGGGAGTTCGTCGTATCCGGCCTCGATTGATTCTGCTTGTCCGGCCCGGATGGGTTTTCCATATCTGACCGGATGGGATCACTGTATTCGGCAACGTATCAAGCCGATATGGGATCACCTTGTTTACCTGTAATTAGATCACATTATC